CTTTACACAATTGATGTGTGTATGGATTGGGATAACAGTTGTATGAGCCCCTAATAAAATGTTTAAAAAAAAAAAGATTCAAGTCAGAATCGGGCTAGACCAGAGGATGTATACTGGTACAGATAGGAACTGGAAACACAGGGAATCCAGGACAGATGAACCTTTCAAGACCAGTGGTGAGAGTGGCGATACTGGGAGGGTGGCGGGAAGGTGGAATAGAAAGGGGGTACCAATTAGAAGCATCTACATATAACCCCCTCTCTGGGGACAGACAACAGAAAAGTGGGTGAAAGGAGACATCGGACAGTAACAAACATAACAAAATAATAATAATTTATAAATTATCAAGGGTTCATGAGGGAGGGAAAAAATGAGGAGCTGATACCAAGGGCTCATGTAGAAAGTAAATGTTTTGAGAACGATGATGGCAACAAATGTACAAATGTGCTTGACACAATGGATGGATGTATAGATTATGGTAAGAGTTGTATGAGCCCCCAATAAAATGATGTTAAAAAAAGATTCAAGTCAGACAAAGTAGGTGAATTTTGAGTAAAAGTTTCACTGCGCTATAAATATTAACAGAAACTGAAAACACAATGTAGATCAATATTGACCTGCTTAAATGGGGAGTTCATTACACAAGGGTCATAGGGTAATGGACAAGAGAGGTGATGTGGTCTCTACCACTTTCTATTCATTGTGTGTTGTCTTTTCTCACTCTCACCCTCTCTCCTTCCCAGTGTTCCATCTTTTCCTTTTCCATTCTTGACCCTCCCCTTTCTTTTTCATAATGAGTATAGAAAAACAAGGAACCTTGGTGGTGTGGTGGCTACAGGTTGGCCTGAGATCAGAAAGGTCAGCAATTCAAAACCATCAGCTGCTCCTCAGAAGAAAAACAGGGCTTTCTACTCCCTTAAACAGTTACAGTCTCAGAAACTCACAGGGGCAGCTCTACCCTACCCTATAGCCTGGCTATGAGTTGGTATTGACTCGATGTCAGGGAGTTTGTTTTGTTTTTCATAAACAAGGGACTCTAGTGACCTAGTGACTTAAGTGTTGAGTTGCTAACCTCAAGATCAGAATTCAAAACCACCAGCTGCTCCGTGGGAGAAAAATGAAGCTTTCTACTCCTATAAAGATTTATAGTCTTGAAAACCCACAGAACAGTTCTACTCTGTCCTATAGGGTTGCTATGATTTGGAATCAATTCATTGGCTGTGTATTGCATTCACAAATCCAAGACTCATTTCTTATTGTGTGCTTTTGAACATATCATAACCTCTCTAAGTCTAAATTTCCTCAACCTCAAAAGAGAAATAAAATTTTTACCTCTTCAGGTTATTGAAGGGATTAAATGAGATAACTGGTATAAAGAGACCAGGCCAAATAGAATTTATTTTAAACCTTTTTTGGAATAGAATACAGTTTAGAGTTGAACTGTCTTGGATTTGAAGCTCTGTTTCACCACCTACTGACTAAGTGATTGGAAATAAGTCTTACAACTTTTCTGTGACTTGGATTCATAAAATGGGATAAATATATAGATTTAGTAGGTTTGGGAAGCTATTAAGTCTTTCCATAGAATTCTTGCTTTGCATACAGGTGACCTGGGTTTGATTCATGGCCAGTGCACCTCAGGCAAAGCCCCCACCTACCTATCAATGGAGGAGGCTTGCATGTTGTTATGATGCTGAACAGGAATTGGAGGTTCCAGACAAAAGCAGACGAGGAAGACCTGTGATCTCATTCCAAAAATCAGCCAACATAAACCAACGGTTTAGAATGGTCTGATCTGCCAATGATCCTGGAGAGTGTGTAGGACCATACATTTCATTTCATTCCATTGCGTGTGGGGTTGCCATGTGTCAGGGGTAACTCCATGGCAGTGGGGAAAATGTGTCTCAGATATTTGGATATCCTGGCTCCAGTGTTATATTTCTGAGGTCCTCTAGGGACTAGGTTCCACATCCTTTACAGTTAGATGCAGTGCTTCCAAAGCCAGAAGATTGCTTTTGGAGAGATGATTTTAAAAAGTCTGGATCCTGGTCAAAAGAAGGTATGAGTCACACAACAGCATAGAGAGAACTCAAATGCATTATGCTCAGTAGGAGCAACCAGTCCCAAAGGCTACATACTATATGACTCCATTTAAATGGCATTCTGGAAAAGAAGTCATTTAGAGGCAGAAAACAGATCTGTAGCTGCTGGGGCTGAGGGTAGTGGGGACAGCTTGGTTGCACATTAAGGGAGCATGAAGGGGGTGCTGGATTGTTTTATGTATTTTGTGGTATCAGTTACACACCTGTATGTATATGTCAAAACTCATAAAACTGTATACTAAAAGGATGAATCGTACTGTGTATAAATTGTACCCCAATAAAACTGATCCCCTAAAAATGTCACAAATGATAGAGGAGGTTTCCAGACATTGGGGAGTTGGGTGGGGGGGGTTGAACTGAATGAGCTTTCAATGCTTTCCCGCCAGAAGTGCTGTGTTTTATGGCATTCTGCCTCTTCTAGATATGGTGTTCTTAGTCACAGTGATTAGGGTTAAGCTTGAACTCCAACTTCTGTGCTAAAGCAATGAAGCTTTCTGATCAGATCATGTGACTATGGATCCTGCCACCATCAGGGACCTTTGGCACTCCCTCAGCCAGTGACAGATGCTCCCGTCTTCCTTTCTCCGGTTCTGACTACCCTTAGAACCAATGAAGCCTTCAGACAATTAAATAAACAATTAATAAAACTAAGGAAACACTCGCTTTATCTCTCTGCACAGACTTCCTGTCTGACTCCCATTTGATGTTCTCATTGAACTTCAACTCAGACAAGAGAAGAATCACATTTATCAAGTCTGCTCCTGTATGATCTTCTGGGCACCTACTCGATAATGTTTATATATTTAAGCTATGCAAATGCAAAGCATGCACCTCAGACCAAACTCACACCTAAGCTTATTGTAACACATATGCATGTGTGCATGTACACACAATTGTACTGGCACACACACACACACACATCCCAGATTCTTGATCTACACAACAGTACATACTAGTGCTTATGAATAGAACACACCTGCTTCTACTCTGGCCAGGGCTGAAACTGCTAGGAGAATGCTCATGCTTCCTGATAAGAGAAAGAAAATCACCTTCTACAATCAAATACATTCACAACTGTGAACTGCTGTGGAAGTTTCACCCTCTGAGTCAGTTGCTTTCCTGTCTCTTCTTGGAGGATCGCAATAAAAACAGTTACAAATACCAGTAATGAGCTACCGCGCAGCTGAGTGCTGGGGAAAAGAAAAAAATCAAGGGCCACAGACAAGCCTGGACCTGTCGGTTTCGTCCTATTCAAAGGACAGAGAGGACTTGGAAGAAGCCAGGTAATGCTCACACTGACCCTTTCTGCTCCATTCACAGCAAGCACGCTGGCTTGTGGAGGTCAGGCACTTCTACTATGGGAGAAGGGCCCAGAGGGACACAGGTTCCACAGGGGCTAGGACCTTGTTAACTCAAGTTCCTATCAGAAGAAAAGGAGAGAGGAAGGACATTTCAATGGTTTAAAACTATCCAACTATCTTCAGAAATTTGTATCACCAGAAATCAGTATTGTCTCCTCTAAGTCACTCAGGGTTGATAACTATTTCTTTGTCACAATTAGGAAAAGCTTCACAAAAACTAAGACAAACTTTTTTATTCAAAGGTACATAAACTGGTGAGCAACAACCAGTCAGAACCACCCCCTAAATTTCCATTTCCAATGGTATTTCCTGAAGGGACACATTCCTACAGCATTCTTTTCTTTTCTATCTAAGCATGATGATACTGACCCACCAAGAGTCACTTAAATGGTATTCCTAATTTTAGGGGTGGCTTTCCATAGAGTGCCTTGATGACTAGTAGGGTGAGGGCCACTGTCTCTAAATGAGGCAAACCTTGCAGGCTATCACGGGGACTGAATACATGACTTTGCACAGTGCTCAAATCAGAACATCTGCTGAGTAAAAAACGATGCTGCTTCAGAGAAACAGAGAGAAGTCCTACAGACCCACCTGGCCAGACCCGCTGTCTCAAAAACTTGGAAGAGACCTAAGAGACCTAAGACTATCAGAGCCTAGGTTGCCCATCCTTCACAAGAAGCATGACCAACATCTTCAACAAAGCCTTGGCTGGTCCTCTTGATACTCAAATGAGTGTCCTGCACCTACAACATCCCTTCAAGGCTGGCAGACTAGCTGTCTAACCCATTCACACAGACTAGCACACATCAAAGCACACCCTAAAGTTCAAAGAGGATCCCAGCTTGTACAATTCCTGAGGCCTTCTGCTGCATACAACACAAAGCCAAGTGAGTGTTGACTTAAGGTGAGTTGTCAACCAACCATAGGAGCAGACTACTACTCTAACTTGTACCAATGTCATGCTGAGGCCTAAGCATAAGTGGGTACTAGCCACCCCGTGCTCTGAGCAAGCAGTCTTTTCCTTTGTTCTTTCAGGAACTGATACCTCTTACTTAAAACCATAAGTAACTACTTTGAAGAACTGAGAAGAATGAAGGAAAAATGTCGTGACATTACCACATCCTGAGATGCATATTGAGGGTCCTCTGGGTTGACTGACCAGTAGCAATAATCAAAGCCAAAAGTCACAACCTTCTCCCGGGAGTCCCCAAAGCCATGTGATCGATTGTCCACCTAAAATTAAACAGAGGGTCCAGTGTCATCTGTATTATAATATCAGAATCTGGCCAGAGATACTTAATTCCTCTTTGCTGTAGCTAGAGATCTGGATTGGTGATGTCCATGTTTATGTTTATAATATCTACCTGAAAAAGAAAAAAAAAGTAACCTTCGTCACATCTCATTAAGTTCAAATACAATAGGGCTTCAAAAAATATGTGGGAAAATAATCCCAGAGAATTAAATTTGTCTATCCCTATCCCCTATTGACATAGTGGGGCATGCATTGGGCTGTTAACCGAAAGGTCAGCAGTTCTAATCTACCAGGTGCTCCATGGGAGAAAGATGAGGCTGTCTACTCCTATGAAGATTTATAGCCTTGGGAACCAAAGGAGTAGTTTTACTGTCCTCTAGGGTTGCTGTGAGTTGGAACCAGATTGTTTGTTTTATCCCTTTTTCTGCCTAACTATGAACCAACCATGTGAGACACAAAGCAGTTTGGTAGAGAAAGCCTTTGCCTCTTTCTCACACTATCATTTCTTTTCTAAATCTCGAGGAAACTAGAAGTGTATGATTAGTTCAGCCATTGGGCCTGATAAGCTCATCAACCTATAGCTCCCAGCTCAATCAAATTAGAAATTGGATTAGACAGAAGAGCCAGGACCAATCCAACTGCCCAAGGTAGATGAGGCCAGAGCTCAGAACTGCAATGGCGTCTGGATATTAGAAAGAACAACATTGACCATAGAAATGCCTTTTTCTCAGTTTGAAATTTAAATCCTGGAGAGGATGAGATGCCATCTCTGGTACTAGCTATCATCAACAACAGAAGTGGTAGGCTGTCAGAATGACTAAGAGATTCTTAGTGGTGACTGACCTCAGGGAAATAAGCAGCCAGGGAGCTGTGTAGGGGGCAGATTAAAGTTTGATCTTGGCCAGGATTTATTCTAAAGAATCAAAAATATGAACTCTCAGAACAAAGCAACTGGAGTGATTAGGCAACAGAGACATAAACAAGAGATGGCAAAGAATAAAAGGCTCTTTGTCCCTAGGGAGCTTCTGTTGAAAATTTGTCAGGTCCCGTTCTTTTTTAGCAGAGAGCTACTGACAAAAGGAAACAGATCACATCACACAAGCAGCACAGGAGTGGACCTGGCTTGAGGTCCAGGTAATCTTCACTCCTGCCAGTAGGCCTTCTCAGCTCTCAGGAATGCAAAGTATACCTGCAAGCTGATTAAAGCAGTAATTAGATCAGGGGTCCTCAAACTTTTTAAACAGGGGGCCAGTTCACTGTCCCTCAGACTCGTTGGAAGCCCGGACTATAGTTTAAAAAAAAACTATGAAAAAATTCCTATGCACACTGCATATATCTTAATTTGAAGTAAAAAAACAAATGGGGCAAAAACACCCTGCGGGCCGAGGGCCGTAGTTTGAGGAAGCCTGAATTAGATAGTCAACTTCTGTCTCTCTTCACTCCCCAAGCCCCAGAAAGTGTTCTACTGGAATCCTTTCCATCTCCTGCTGACCTGGTGATTGGAGGAACAGGATGGAGGAAATGAGCCCTACGAGGGGTGGGGGGAAGGAAGTTCCCAACGTTTGTCTAATTGTGACTCAAAGTTCAGTCATATCAGTGAAAAAAATATATTTATAGCAAGATTTAGGAATGTTAGGAAAAAAAGACGTAGGCTAGTGATTAATTGCCTTATGAAATCTGAAGGCTATCGTAGACCCTCATTCCCATATGGCCAGAATAAAACATGCATTGGCACATACCTCCATGCCTACTAAAATGTCTAATAGTACTTTTAGATGAACAGCTATCAATTGAGAAGCTTGGACAAAGTCTAACCGGAGGTCCGTGAAGTTAAATGGACACATCTCAGTACACGTTAAGCTATCCATGTACCTGCTTTCAAAGTTGCTGCTGATAGTTCCCAAAGCAGCTGCCTGTTTGACAGAAGTTATGCTACAGCAATCACATCCCCTAAATGTCTTTCCTGTTTTATTTTTCTATTGCATTTATGGTTGGTCAAAACTTTTCCTATAATTTCTCTTACATGCCCTTCCCTCACCCACCCACCCTCACTCCTTCATACACTCCTGCACCCAAAAGCCCTCGATGGAAAGAAAAAAGCTTACCTTTAAGCTCCTGATTCTTGCCACTTTGCCATCAACTTCCACAATAATTCTTCCTCCGTCTTCGGTCTCCCTAGAAACAAGATCCAAACCCAAGTGAGAAAAAAACTTCTGTTTTTTTATCAAGAAAAGAGAAGCTATTAAAAAAAAAAAAGAAAGAAGCTGAGGGTGAGAGTGGACAGTGTAAGTGGTACAAACTGTTTCTCTACTACTGTCCCAAGAACTAGGATGTCTGTCTCCAAAAATAGCTACAAGGATCACGTCAAGCAGTCCCCGAGATGGGCTGCTCCCCTGGATCATTAGGATTCAGCTCTCTATCAGCCACTACTCACCATTATTGAGCACCCTCTATGCAGATGCACTGCACACTGTATTTCCTCTCATGCAATCCTCCTGAGAGCTTGCTAACATAGCCTTGTTTTTGCATATGGAAACTAAAGTGGGAAGAAAAGTATGTCACTGGTCCAAAGTCACACAGCAAGAAGTAGCAAAGCTGAGCTTTAAACTCAGGTCTGTCAGCCTCCAAAGCTTACGCTCTTAACCGTCCCTTAGACACAAGGCCCAGCACACATCTCTAATTTTCTTTCAGAGTATGATGACTGGTAGCAATTAAAAAAAATGTTTTCACCACCACCACCACCACCAAAAAAAAAAAAATGTTTTAAGTGTTCAGGTCAATTGGCATAACATGGTTCACTAAAACAAGTTTCTTTGAGTAGTGACTAGGTCTTAAACACTCAGGGGCAGCAATCTGAAGAGTATCATGATGGTCTCTCCCAATTCGGGGGAAAGAAGAATGATGAAAACTGGAAGACCTTTAGCCAATGGACGATGTAAAGAGCCTCCACGAACCTAAGAGCAGAAGAATGAGACTGGGCTGGCCACCACTGACAAGGGCTCTGAACAGGAGCACATTAGAATGTGCTCGTTAGGTGACTTTCCAAGCAGCTTTTAGGGAGGCTGCACAGGGTGAGGGGCCCTGCGGGTGCCTGTGTAAACCTGAAACTTCTTCTGTCATAAAACTCACTTGCATCACACACACACAAAAATGAAGGTGCTCCATAGAGTAGAAAAAAGATGTGGAACAAAAGGCAAAATCACAAAAGAGATGAGAGGCTTACTGGTTGGATAGAGACTAGTGAAACCACCAAGACAGTCACCCTTCAGGGTTGGAGCTGAACTTACTCTGATGTTAGAATAATTAACCATTTAAGATCAATTTAAAAGTTTTTTTTTAAAGTGTTGGTGTTCACGATTGCTGAAGACAAATGGGTGCATAAGCAAATGTGGTGAAGAAAGCTGACAGTGCCTGGCTATCAAAAGATATACCATCTGGGGTCTTAAAGGCTTGAAGGTAAATAAGCAGCCATCTTGCTCAGAAACAACAAAGCCCAGATGGAAGAAGCACACCAGCCTGTGTGATCA